GAGGCATTTGCGCGGCGCAGGGGGGGAGGGGGGGGGGTGCGCAAAGAGATCTCAGCCGAGCATGCCCCGGCGTCTGTGTCGGCGCTTTGACCGTCCGCAGGGTGGACTATACCGAGGGCACAGGCATGTGGGAAGCTGGGTTCTGGAACAACCCGATGGTTGTCCTTGTCGGAGAGGGCGGGAAAACCCAGCTCCCTAGGCAAAACTATGCCTCCTGCCCCCTCGCCCACACCGCTGACGGCGAGGTATTTCCAGAGATGAAAAAAAAAGAAGCCCCGCACACCTGCGCAAGAAGAGGGCAATCATTGGCCGGACCCGTCTGCGAGGGACGTCCATGCGCCGCGCGCACCGAAGCGCGCAAACGAATGTTGGCCGCAAAAAACGGAGGATGGAGCGGGATGCCGAGGGATGAGGAGAGAGAGAGAGAGAGAGAGAGGCCAGCAGTGAGGGAGTGAGGTCTTCCAGCGTCTGTTCATCACCGGTCTGCACGAAGTCCCGGCGCGAGGAAACCACCGGAGGACTCGCCAAAAATGGTTCTACACCTGCACGGTTGTCGACCGCCCTCTGGGGCCGCCCCACGGGGAGGGCAGAAGGATCCGCCCGGGTTTACCCCACAATCACAGACACGCATGCACACGCCCTCTGTTCCCATATTCACGTGGTGGGATATAACACCATTCCGCACCTCACGGGGCTTACTCACGAATGAGACATGATCCTATTATCCGTAAGAGCTCCCCGTATTTCAGCTCCATGCGGCGGGCGACGGCCGTGTGCCCGCATGCGCCACGCTTGCACCTGAAGCACATACGGACGCACACGGGCGGGGGGGGGGACGGTGGGGGGGGGGGGCTGCACGGGCGGCCCCCCGCCGCCGGGGGGGGGAGGGGGGCGGACTGCCTGCTTGGGGTCATCCCCGGCATCCGCCGTCCCCGCATCCCCGGAGAACGCATGAGGACCTGGAGCCCTCCGGGCCTGGGGATGGCTTGAGGATGGGTTGGATGCCCCCCCCCTCGACCCCGCCCGGCCCCGCCCGGCCCCGCCCGGCCCCGCCCGGCCCAATCCGACTCTCACTCGGCGTCTCCCGTGTGCGTGGAGACCGGGGCCGGCTGGAGGCAAGCCCCGCGCGTCCATGCTGAGGGGGAGAAGAAGACAGACCACCACGATGCACCCCGGCCGCCCAGAGGTCCTTTCATCCAGCAGAGCCCCCTCGCCCTCCCCCTCCATCCCTTCCCTCTTCCTCCTCCTGCACGCACCTACACACACGGACACACACGGACACACACACACACACGCACACACGCACACGCACACGCACACATACACACGCGCGCGCACCCGCCACGCCACGCTCCTCCCTCTCCAGCCCGCCCCGGATCTGCGCCCCCGGCTCTGCTTGCCTCTCTCCTCTTGGCCTTCCTCTTGGCGTGCCATGTCGAAGAAATCCCCCCCCACTAAGTCGCTTGTCGCCTCCGCCAGCGCCTCTTCGGCCGGTACATGACCCATCTCCTGTCTCTCTCTCTCCCCCCCCAATCTCTCATGCTCGTCTTCTCCCTTTCCCTCAAACACAGACATATCCACCAGAGCCCCTTCTGACTCCTGATTTGCCCCTCCCCCCCCCTCCCCCTCTCGATAGTGGAGCAGGACTTCCCTCGTGGTGGCTCTACTGGCCTGGCGCCGGTCGAGTACCGGGACGCCCGTCGCCAGGCCCAGGCTGACGCCGAGAAGGAGGTGCGCCTCGAGTCCGGTGTCTGGTTGCTGCGCCACTTTCTGAATGCACCATTTACTAATCACCCTCCCTCCCCCCCCCCCCTGCCCTCCTGCCTTCCTCTTGCCTGCCCCGTGTCCAGCTCCTGACCAAGCTCGGCAAGCGCTCGGCCCAGGACGATGAGCTGACCGCTGCGCCGAAGAGCAAGCGCCTCAAGAAGAAGGATCAGGCTGCCGCAGCTCCGACCAATGTGGTCATCCCCCCGATTGTGTCCCTCCGCTTCAAGGTACATCCCCCGTCCTGGGGATTGGCTCGTCCCCCGGTCTTTTCGCCGCTCCCTCCCACGCGACCTCCCTGCTGACTGGCCCTTTTCCCGGGTGCACCACGCTAGTCCCTGCGCACGGGCATGTCTCTGCTTGGTGCGATCAAGGAGATCGGCGAGCTCGAGCTGGCCATCTCCCTGCCGAATGGCCTCACTGGCTACGTGCACATTGCGGAGATCTCGCCCTACGTCACGGCGCAGGTGGAGCACGTCGCCGCCCAGGAGGGTGACGACATCTCCCTCCCCAACCTGGCGGAGATTTTCCGCGTCGGCGACTTCGTCCGCTGCGTTATCACCGAGCTTGGACGCACCGAAACCAACCGCAACCGCATCGATCTTTCGATCAACCCGCAGAAGGTCAACCTCGGCATCACTGCTGATGACCTTGTCTCCAACATGGTACGCCCTCCTCCTCCCTCCGACGTGTGCTGGCCATGCAACATTTGTGTCCCCCTGCATTTGCCTTCACACACACACACACACATGCACTCATGCACACGCCTGTAAGCATGAGCGTGGCTGCGTCTTCACTTGCCCATCCACCTTTCTGACACCCCTGCCCGGTCCCCGTGCGCCGTCCGATAGATGCTCTCGTGCAGCGTCAAGAGCATCGAAGACCACGGCTACCAGCTGGACATCGGTCAGCAGGATGTCCGTGGCTTCCTGCGCAACTCCGATGCCAAGGACTTCATCGAGAAGCGGGGCCGGCCGCTGGCCCTCGGCGAGGTGCTCATTGCCAATGTGCACTCGATTAATGGCGGTGTCGCTCGGGTCACCCTCAACCCGAGTGTCCTCTCGACGGCCGTGGTGCGTGAGCCGTTGCTCTCTTCTGAGCGTCCTCCTGGCTGCCTCTCCCTCCCTCTGTCTGACACACTCACATGCACACACACACACACACACACACACACACACACACACACACAGACCAAGGTCAGTCAGGTGTCTACCTGGGATAGCCTTAAGCCCGGTGTCCGGGTGTCGGCCTTCGTCGACCATGTCATTCCCTCGGGTCTGCGCACCACCGTACTTGGCAGCTTCAAGGGCACCATTGACATCTTCAACCTGGGCATCAGCAATCTCTTCTCGGCCCCGATCGAGTCGCTTTTCAGCCCGGGCACCCGTGTACGTGTGCCTGCAATGCCTGTCTCCTCCCTTCGCGGCTTTGATCTCCCCTCTCCTTCGCGCACGCGCGCGTGCACATGCGCAGGCCTGCCCCTAACACCATCTCCTTTGTCGACCCTGGACGCGGGGTAAAAAAAAAACAACAACACTCAGATTGAAGCTCGTGTGATCTTCGTCAATGTCGTTGACCAGGTCATTGGTCTGTCGCTTCTGGAGCACGTCCTGGCCCTGAAGCCGTGTGCCTTCACCGCGCCGGCCTCTCAGCTGCGCATGGGTGCCTTCTTCGAGCAGGCCACCGTCACCGGCGCTGACGAGCACTCCGGTGTGGCCCTGTCCCTGGGCGATGGCATGCATGGCTTCGCGCACGCCACGCGCCTGGTCAATGACACGGAGAAGATCAAGAACTTCGACCGCTCCTTCGGGATTGGCACTCGTCACCGGTGCCGTGTCCTGTCAGTGGACTACTTCTCCAGCCTGCTGCAGGTGACCCTGCAGCCTTCGGTGCTGGCTATCCCCTACATCTCGTATGCCGACCTCTCCGCCAAAAAAAAAATCCAGGGGCAGGTCCTGTCCCACCAGGACGCCGGGTTCCTGGTGCAGCTGTGTGACGGCATCGTCGGCTACTGCTCCTACAACCACGCCAGCGATGTGCCGCTTTCCTCCTACGCCAAGAAGTTCCCCGAGAAGTCCAAGGCTCGGTTCCTGGTGCGTGCATTGGGCACTTGCTGCCTGCTGACGACTCTTGGTGCACCTGTCCCCATGTGACCCGCCACTCTGACCTGCGATGGATTTGTGTCTTGTCCTTTCTCTTGCTGCACCTTCACACGCACGCACGCACGCACGCATGCACGCACGCGCGCGCCCGCCCACCGGCTGTCATCGACGCAGGTCATGTCTTGCGATCCTGCTCGTAAGCGCCTGGTCCTGAACGCGCGCCGGTCCATGGTCCAGATGAAGGGGGGCAAGTACTTCACCGACATCAATGCCATCAAGGTGGGCGATGTCAGCGTGGGTCTTGTGTCGCACGTCGCCGAGTATGGCCTCTTCGTGCGCTTCCTCAACAATGTTTCCGGCATGGCGCACATCTCGCAGCTGTCCCAGTCGCACGTCAGCGACGTGAGCCAGATGTTCAAGCGCTTCCAGCCGGTCCGTGCCCGGGTGATCGCCATCGACAACGAGCGCGGCCGGCTCAGCCTCAGCCTGATCATGGACGACAATGTGTCGGCTGACGGCAAGGACATGGCCAGCCTCGTTGCCGCTGCCAGTGCGTGTGCCATCCGCGCCCCGCCATGCGAGGAAGAATGCATCTTGCCTTCCCACCTTTTTTTTCCCCCCCTCCCCACAAACTGGCCCCCTTACCGCTCCTCCCCTGTCTGCCGTGCCCGGTCGGCCTCTCTCTCTCTTTCTCTCCTTCCCTTGCAGAGGACAACCCCGCCAGCATCATCGGCAAGACCCTCACCTGCACGGTGAAGAGCGTGGACACCGGCTCGGCCCTCGTGTCGCTCGGACCCTCGACCAATGCCCGGGTCTCCGTCGTGGATGTGGTTGATGGTTTCCCCACTCGGCCTCTGGCTGCCCTCTCGGCCGGTCAGCGCACCAAGTGTCGCATCATTCGCTTCGACCCGGAGCGGTATGTTCTCATTTCCCCCCTCCTGCTCTCCAACGCATCTCTCTCTCTCCCTTGCTGCCTTTGTCCTCCCAAGGAGCCTCCTAACGCCCGAACGATGTTGCCCTGCCGCTATGCCTGGGTGTGTGTGTGTGTGTGTGTCTGCTCGACTACACAGCAACTTCATCGATGTTACTCTTCGCAAGTCCCTCCTCAGCCAGGAGACCCTGTCTCTCAGCGTGCCTGAGGACACTGGCTCCGCGCAGGCTCCCCTGCAGCTGGTTGTTGCCTCGCAGCTGCAGGCCGGCCAGATTGTTGGTGGCTACGTGTCGGCCATCAATCAGGGCGGTATTTTCGTCCAACTGACGTCCGAGATGTTTGGTCGGATCAAGGTGCGTGTCCGATGTTGACTCCCTCTCTTTCTCTCTCTTCCCGATCTCGACCCCAAGCACACCTCAGGCTACTTCTGTGTACGCATAGCCCCCCCCCCCCCCCCCCCTCCCATACTCACTTCCTCCCCGCTTTCCTCTTGGGGCCTGAATTGGGCAGATTTCCGAGATCTCCGACCTCTTTATCAAGGACTGGCAGTCGACCGTCTCTGTCGGCCAGCCGGTCTCGGTCTACGTGATCAGCGTGGATCATGCCAACCTGCGGGCCGAGCTGTCTCTGCGTGAGAGCCGCTTGAACCCGTCGGTCTCCACGGTGACCGTGGGCCAGCGCCTGCGCGGGTCAATCAACCGCATTGTCGACTTCGGCCTGTTTGTCAGCGTGTCCCCGACGCTGCGTGGCCTGTGCCACATCAACCAGGTGCCCCAGTATGCGGTGGGCACAAAGATGACGCCGGAGCAGCTGCATGCCAACTACCAGATCGGCCAGCTGGTGCAGGTGATGGTGATCAGCTACGACGCGGCTACCCGGAAGATCGGCTTCAGCATGCTGCCCGAGCACTTTGAGAACATCAGCGACACTCAGGTGGAGGACTTCGGTGTGCAGGCCCTGGCCGAGTCGATCAAGCAGCATCATACCGACGATCGGGCCCGCCCGCAGCAGGGTGTCTCGGCGGCGGCCGCCCTGCTGGCGGCCCTTTCCGCCTCGGATGACAACTTGTCCACCACCGATGAGGAGGGCACCAGCGACTCCGACATGGTGGAGTCCGACTCCGATGAGGACATGGTTGATGCCCACAGCGGCCCGGCCTCCGACTCGGATGACGACGAGGACATGGACCTCGAGTCCGATGAGGATGATGATGATGATGATGATGAGACTGGCAACACTGGCACCCTGGTGTCGGCCGGCCAGTTCGACTGGTCTGGCTCGCTGGCGCCGGTGGTCCAGTCCGACAGCGATGCCGCCGACTCCGGCCTCGAGTCGGCCGAGGACGACACCGACGAGGAGGATGGCGAGGATGGGGCCTCGGAGGCCTCCTCTCGCCAGAAGGCCAAGCGTGCCAAGCAGCGTGCCAAGCGCGAGCGCGAGCAGGAGATCCTGGCGCGCGAGCGTGAGCTGGCTGCCGAGGTTAGCGGCACCGGTGCCACCCCTCGCACGGCCGACGACTTCGACCGTCTGCTGCTTTCCTCGCCCAACTCCTCCTTCCTCTGGATCAAGTTCATGGCCTTCCACCTTAGCACTGCCCAGATTGACCAGGCCCGTGCGGTGGCTGAGCGTGCCCTTTCCAGTACGTGTCCTCCAATGGGGGGGGAGGCGGGGATTTTTTCGGTCTCTTTCGGGACTTTTCCCTTCATCCTCCCTGCCTTCCCGCGCTGGCCTTTCCTGATGTGCTCGAACTGACGCCCTCATGCTGCCCCCGGTGCCGTACTCCCCTGCCTCCCCTCCTTCTCCTTCTCCGCGCCCCCTGCCGGCAATGCCACGAACAGCCATCGACTTCCGCCAGGAGCAGGAGAAGTACAACATCTGGATCGCCCTGCTGAACCTGGAGTCGCGCTTCGGCACGGAGCAGTCGTTCGCGGCGACCGCGGCCAAGGCGGCCCAATTTGCCGATGCCAAGAAGATCCTCCTGCAGGTGGCGTGCATCCACGAGCAGGCCGGGCGCCTGCAGCAGGCCCTGCTGGCCTTCCAGTGCTTTGTGAAGAAGTACAAGCAGAGCTCCAAGGCCTGGCTCAATTATGGGCAGTTCCTCCTCCGGTTGGCCCTGACCGGGGAGCGCATTCCCGAGATGGAGGAGGGTCTGGATGCGCCGCGTGTTCTCCAGCGCTCGCTGCTCAGCCTCCCTCGGCATAAGCACATCAAGACGATTGCCAAGTTTGCGCAGGCCGAGTTCCGTCTCGGGTCTCCGGAGCGTGGCCGGACCCTGTTCGAGGCTCTGCTTTCCAGCCACCCCAAGCGCCTGGACCTGTGGAGTGTCTATGTGGACATGGAGGTGCGCGCGGCCCACAACCCGGCCGCGCACTACATCGGCTCCGAGGAGGCGGGCACGGCGGAGCGCGTGCGTGCCCTGCTGGCCCGCCTGGCCAGCCTCACCTGGCCGGCCCGGTCGATGCGTTTCATTCTGAAGAAGTGGATGACCTATGAGGCGCGCAACAACCCCGGCGACGAGGCGGCCCTGGACCGCGTGCGCACCCTGGCCCGGGAGTATGTCAGCTCGCTGGGCAACTGAGTGCTGCCGGGAGCCGTGCCGGAAGAGAGACCACAAGGGTGGAGGAGCAGACAACGGGCAAGGAGACAAGCCGGAAGAGGCCACACATGAGACAGGCATCCGACGGGGCCGCGGCCGCGGCCGGGGGGGGGCGAGGGAGAGTGCATCTGGCCCTCTCCCCACCGCCGTGGCCGGCTTTTCCTCTGATCTGCCTTCTTCTTTGCGCCTCGGAGAATGCATTTGCCGGGTGGGGGGGGTTTGCCCTCGCCTGCATGCGGGATGATTCCCCTGGGCACGAAAAGGGCCGTCATACCCTTTCGGTGTCCAGTGCCTTTCCTTCTCTCCTGGACTTGGGCCAGCTTGTCGCTGGGCCCAGTGTAATAGATTTCATATTTTTTTTTCCAAGAGCCGAGCACGTGTCGTGTGACCCTCCGCGGCGGGTCTTTCATGGGCCAGGTAAACATGGGGAGAGGCCGCGTGGGACAATGTGCACTGGGCGCCCATGCGCAAGTGCATGTGGATGTTCGCGTGGCCGGGGTGAGGGTGGGGGGCAGCGAAGCACACCGAAGGCCAGGGGCCTGGGGGCGCGGGCCTGTGTGGGCGCGGGCCCTGGCCTTGAACAACGCCCCAGTGTAGCGAGTGGGTGCGGGCGGGGGTGAGGACGGGGGAACGGCAAAAACGCAATTCTGCCATCTCATTTGCCCGCGTCGGGGGGCGACTTGGCGCAATGACTGGCCCGGAAGCTCTTGGCGCCCGAGTGATAATTGGCCCCAGACCCCCCTGTTGTGAGGAGGCACAGCTCTTGCCCGGAGATGCTCCTGTGGCGTTGTTTTCTTCTTCATCTTCTTTTTGAGAGAAAGCATCTGCCCAAGGCACTCGCCCTTTTTGCATGGGCGGCGCGTGTGCACTGGGCCAGTTTTGAGGCAGATGAACTCTCTGAACGCCGGGAGAACAACTGGATGGCGATGCCCCCACAGGCAGGAGCACAAGCAACATCAATGCCCCCGACTGGACGAACCGGAAGTGGCTGCATTTGGACAGTTGGGCCAGCGAAACCATCAAGTTGAGCACCTGTGCGGGGCAGACCGGGAGGGAGAGCAGAGTAGAGAGCGAGAGAGAGAGAGAGAGAGAGAGAGAGCGAGCGAGAGAGAGAGAGAGAGAGAGAGAGAGAGAGAGAGAGAGAGGGAAATGTGACACACGGCCTTGCCCATATCGACGCCTCGCACACGGGAACATGGTGATGAAGCACAAAACTAAAATATATTACACAACTGGCACATTTGGTCATGGAATCTGCATCACCATGCAGTGAGAAGCTCAAGGACAACAAACGACAGGGATCGTTTCAAGGAGGGGAAGGGGAAGGGGGAACCGGGGGGAGGGAGAGGGAGGGATGGGGAGGGAGAGGGAGATGGAGAGGGAGAGGGAGGGATGGGGAGGGAGGAGGGGAGAACTAGAACAAAAAGGAGGAGGTCCAGGCGCACGCGCGCCGACGGGGATTTAGCCAACGCATGTTGCCCGTATCTGTCTCTTCTCCCGTGCGCCAGCGCGGAGAGGCAGGGCAGGGGAGAAGAGTAAATGAGAGGAGAGCAGCCATGTCCCCCCTCCTGAAGCCCCTCTCTCGGTGGTGGCCATTACCCCGCCTGGGTCTTGATGCTGGCGGGCACAACAGCACACCACAAGCATCCGGTCATAGCCTCGGACTGTGCGACGTCCCAGGGAGAGAGAGAGAGAGAGAGAGGGAGGGAGGGAGGGAGGGAGAGAGAAAGGGAGGGAGGGAGAGCGGGGGTGCTGGAGCCACGGAGAAGGAAACAATGAAAAAGTAACGGCAACTAGCGGGCAGCTTTTCTGACATTAGAACCGGGGGCGTTTCTCCATGGGCTTGGTGGCAGCCGGCAGCACAGAGGGAACCTTGCCCAGCAGGGCGCTGATCGGCGCCCGGCCCTGGATCATGAGCATCATGTCCCGCTCGAAGTTCTTCTTCAGGTTGAGATACCGCATGCCGATGGCGATGTAGGACCCGCGCATGGCAAAGAGGCCACTGCTCTGGCCCAGGGACACCACCTGGGCAATGGGCTTCCCCGGGGAGGCGGCGGTGCCCTTGGTGCCGATGACCAGCGGGGCGCGGCCCTTCTCAATCCGGCAGATGTTCCGCGCGATGGAGACGCCATGTGAGGCCGCGGCAAAGGCCAACTTCTCCACCTTGAGATTGGCCACATCGCCACCGGTGAAGATGTGATCAAAGCCAAACACCTGCAGGGTGGGCCGCGTCCGAATGAAGCCCGTGGTGTCCAGGAGGTTGCTGAAGTGGGCCTTGAGGAAGCGAGTCTGCGGGACTTGACCCGTGGCAAGGTAGAACTTGTCACACTCGATGATGCGCCCGGTGTCGGTCTCCATGCGCCGACCGGTGGTGTCCAGGTTGACCACCCGCTCGCCGAGGATGAGCTCCACCCCGAGGGACTCCAGGTAGGGAGCCACCAAACGGTGGGCCTTCTTGGGAAGACGCCGAAGGAGGAAGGGGCTGCTGCTGACCAGCATAATGTGCTTGGTGGGGAAGCGCTCGGCAAATTCGGCGGCCAGCTCCACGCCCACCGACCCACCACCGATGATGAGCACCGAGCGGGACTGCTCCAGCGACCGGAAATCCGCATTCAGCTTCTTCGTCCGGTAGGAGGTGGTGACATTGTTGCCGCGGATCTGCGAATTGTAGGTGGCCCCGGTGGCAATGACCAAATAGTCATAGGGGATGGACTGGCCATCGGCGCGGACCTGGCGGTGGCACACCTCCGTGGCATACCCGATGACCACCCGGCCGTTGCGCACGTAGGAGGTATGCAAAAACCGATGGTTCTCCACCAGCGAGGGGTTGGCCATGACCGTGGTGATGGATGGGGTCAGCTCGAAGTACTCCTTCGTGTCGACCAGGGTCACATGGAAGCGAGGCATGGCATCCAGCAGCCGGGCACAGAAGGCCCCGAGGATGCCGCCGCCGACAATCACGACCCTCCGGGCATTGGGGGGAACAACTGAGCTGTGTGTGCGAGTGTGCGAGTGTGCGAGTGTGCGAGTGTGCGTGTGTAGAGGGCAAGACAAAAGTTAGGATCAGTTGCAGGAGGGGGCCCGGGGAGGCCCCCGGGGGAGGAGGGGGGGGGGGGGGGGGGGGGGTAAACCCGAGGGAAGAGAGGGCAGGAAGCAGGAGGGGATGGCCCCGTCACGCACAGGGTCGGGGCGATGTTCACGCGCGACAGGGCATGCTTGAACTTGGGCAGGATGTTGGTCTCAATCAGGGAGCGAACTTCGCGCGCGGCCGGGTCGAACAGCGTGATCGGCTGGTTCTTGGGCATGGCCTTGATGATCTCCGGGGTGAGGGCCGTGGCGGCTTCGATGATGCGCTCGCGCGTCCGGTGCTCGATGTTCAGGGCCAGGGGCGACTCGCTGCGAATGTAGTCATTGAGGATCTCCTGGACAAGGCGCCACTCGGGGAAGCGCTTGAGCAGGGCCAACTCCTCCAGGAAGAAGACATTCTCCTCGGCGAACTCGGTGCCGGCGAAAACCCGCAGAGCAGTACGCAGGTCCGACCGGCCGAGGACATCATCCAGCGAGAGGGAGTCCGACCGGGACTCGGCCAGCGACCGGGGAAGGGACCCGGTGTCGGTGATTCCCGCCAGGCCCGGGGCGCCGCCACTGGTGGGCGAGGGCGGCACCGAGGAGAAGTGCGCGGCCGCCCGGCGGTGGGAGCGCTGGCGCGAGGGCTCCGAATCGGACGACGAGTCGAAGCTCAGCTTGCGGTAGGCCCGATCCAAGGCCAGCATGGAGGTGGACTCGGCCCGGAGGGTCGGCTCGCCGCCATTGGGCCGGGTGGCGAAGGTGGGCGACCCGGGCGGGGTGGCCACGGTCGTCGAGCAAAGCCCGCCCTCCGGGTGGTCGGAGTAGGAGGAGGAATCCTCCTCGCCATCGAGGAGCCCACTGTCCCCGGGGTCGGCGCCAATGGCCCAGAGCTCCTCCAGGGCGCCGGTCGTGGCGGCCGACGAGGCGCAGTCCTGAGTGGAGGAGGTGTCTGGGGTGGTCTCGCCAGAGAGTGGCTGAGTGTACTCGCTGTCGGAGTCGGAGTCGGAGGCATTGGCGACGGCGTTGTTGCGCCGGTTGGCCACCCGGTTGCGGATGGTGCCCAGCAGCATGGGGGCACTGAGCATGGGAAGATGGGGGGGGGGAGAGAGAGAGAGAGAGAGGGAGGGAGGGAGGGGGAGCATGTGAGAAGGGAAGAGGGGCAGGGGGAGGGGGGGGGGGGCAAGGGAGGAAGGGGAAAGAGTGGAGGGACGCACCGGTAAACAGTCAGCGACCGAGACTCCGGCTGTGTAGGGGGCGGGAGAGGGAGGGGGGTAGGGGGAAGGGAGGGAAAAGGACGGAGCGTCGGCGCGACTGTCGGGCGCAGAGGCGGGGGATTGGGGGGGGGGGAGAGGACAGGGAAATAGAATGAGAGAAGGGTGCCTCTGCAGCACCAGGCCGAGGTTTGGCGGGGTGCTGCCTTTCAAAGGGGAGGCGAGGCGCTGGAGCGGATTCCTACGATGCAGAGGGGCAGGGAGGGGACGGGTGTATAGGCACCTCCGGGCACGCCCTGGCCTGGAGCCCGTTCGAAGACGCAAGAACAGTACACATGTAGCCAACGGGGCGGCCCCCCCCCC